TGCTCCCTCAGCAAGTTTGCTGATGATACCAAACTGGGWGGAGTARCTGAYAGCCCTGAGGGCTGTGCTGCCATCCAGAGGGACCTGSACAGACTGGASRACTGGGCGGTKAGAAAYCTCATGARGTTCAACARGGGCAAGTGCAGGGTCCTGCACTTGGGGAGGAATAACCCCGGATACCAGTACAGATTAGGCGTGGACCTGCTGGAGAGCAGCCCCGCAGAGAGGGACCTGGATGTCATGGTGGACGACAAGCTGACCATGAGGCAGCAGTGTGCCCTGGTGGCCAAGAAGGCCAACGGGATCCTGGGGTGCATTAAGAAGAGCGTCTCCAGCAGGTYGAGGGAGGTGATCGTCCCCCTCTACTCAGCCCTGGTAAGGCCACATCTGGAGACTGTGTCCAGTTCTGGGCTCCCCAGTACAAGAGGGATGTGGAGCTGCTGGAGAGAGTCCAGCGCAGGGCTACCAGGATGATCAGGGGCCTGGAACATCTGCCCTATGAGCAAAGACTGAGGGAGCTGGGCCTGTTCAGCCTGGAGAAGAGGAGGCTGAGGGGGGACCTGATCAGTGTGTATAAATACCTCAAGGGAGGCAGTGAGGAGGAGTGGGTGGCCTCTTTTCAGTGGTGGGCAGGGATAGGACTAGAGGAAACGGCTACAAGCTCAAGCACCAAAAGTTCCACAGGAACTTGAGGAAACATTTCTTGACAGTGAGGGTGACAGAGCCCTGGMACAGGCTGCCCAGGGAGGTTGTGGAGTCTCCTTCTTTGGAGATCTTTAAAACCGACTTGGACGCAGCCCTGTGCCAYGTGCTCTAGGTGACCCTGCATGAGCAGGGGGTTGGACTAGATGACCTCTGAGGTCCCTGCCAACCTTAAGCATTCTATGATTCTATGAATAAGTCTGGCACAGGGTGACAGCAATTCAGCAAGTGCTTTTGAGTCAAGTATGGATGTTTCACTACCTAACAAACTAACTACTATCTGCCTTATTTTTGCCACTTCGCTATAAACTGATACATCCAAAGATAAAGCCGTAGGTCATCTTAGGCAATTTGGAGACTAAATATATGTTAACGATATGGTGACTAATGCAGGCTGCTGCCAGGAGTCGCCTACCAGGAGCTTTTTGACGCTGAACTCTTGAGAGGACAATCAGTAATTTAAAGCTTACCACAACCTTGTATTTCCTGTGCCCCTGTGCCTTAGAAAGGAAAAAAAAAAAAAAAGAAAAAAGAAAAAGAAAAAAAAAAAAAGCAGCTGTTTGTTTATGGCTACAAAATTGGTTTTCCTTCCCTGATCTACAACATAAGAGTATAGGCACCTGCGTAGGCACCTTTGAAGCTGGCAACCTGCAATGCGGGTCGGGGAAATGGGCTCCCTTGCCTTTGACAGTAAGTTTAAAGAATTTGTTTCTTTAAACTTGGCCTGCTTGGAGGAAGCTTGCAAATCCATGGGCAATTTTGGCTTGTGCTTGTGTGATCAACAAATGCATAGCAGGGTCCAAGGATTGCTGAGAGTTTCAGGGTTGCCAGAATGGATTTATTTTCTGAAAGGGATATTGAGGAAGGCTGCTGACCAGCACAGGCAGCGCCTAGTATTTCTGCTTGTGCCCGTCACAGACTTAATAAGTAAAAATTTTCAGGCTCAATTTGAAAAATTATCTTCTCCATTCTCCCCTTTCCTAAATATTTGTGGTGTGTCCGGAGCGGGGAACTGGGGCACATCTCACCCTTCAGCTAGAGAGCCCAGGCAGGGAAGACCTTTGAGGGCTCTTCCACATGTTGGTGTTTGCAACTGTAGCTCTAGATGTTAAAGGCGGGGTGGGTGCTTGTCACACATGATCCTTTATGTAGGATGGGCACAGACGTCCCTTAGAGTTCGTGTGAGCCTTAGGGAGGCTGTTGTCTGGAGAACTCTTGCTGGAAGAGCATGTGGCAATCTCCCGAAGCCGTCCGTTCTGTTTTCTCCCTTTCCATGGTCAGATAAACTGTTCTCATTTACCAGTTGTAAAATGCTGGGATTAGCTGCTGCTTTCTGGATAGTGGAAGGAAGGATAGTTCTTCCTTCCTTCCTTCCTTCCTTCCTTCCTTCCTTCCTTCCTTCCTTCCTTCCTTCCT